TGCTCAATACCGATAATTCCTACCATAATTTATCAGAGGATTCTAATCAGAATTTTAGGGTGTCGATTTTTGATATTAATTGCAAGGGATACAGCTTGATGGTTTTCGGAATATTGAATTATTCTGTTCCGGTTATTGTAGAGAGGTTAAGTTAGTGTGCTGCAGTGACTCTATTTTTACACTAATAAGTAAGTTATATTTAGAGATAGAGTAACTGATGCCTGTTATGTAAACTTGCCGATGGCTACCTGTAAGCTTTGTTGTAAAGGTGTTGAATGGGTACGCTCCTCCCTTCCATGCAGTATGTTAAATACTGTTGTAGGGTTGTAGGTCATTTGCAAATGAGTGAACAACTTGCCCATTTTAGATTGGACATACAATGCAGTCATGATGCAGTTTTGCTGGGTACATTTTACTCTGTATTATTCGTTGTAGAACAGCAAAATGTACTTGTTTAGGTTGTGTTGCATACTCAACTGAGGGTTTCAGCACTTGGAGTAATCCCGTAAACAATCAAACAATCAATGTGTGTTGCAGCTCATTTATTATTTATTTATTTTTATTTGTAATGTAGCTTTGACAGAGTTTTACAAGTCGATATACATGATAGAATGTACTATTTGAATTTGGTAAAACCATTGTTAAAGCGCTCTTCTATTGAGTGGGGCTTCATTGTTAGTAAACACCTCTTTAGCACAGCTTACTATCTTTTTTCATTTTTCATATTCTTGATTTCCTGAGGGAGGTGGTTGAATAGTCCACTCCCAACATGGATTAATTTGTCGAATTCACCATGGCATTTCTTTCTACGGAAGTCATTTTTTCCCGCAGGAAGAAATACCATAGTGAAAGCGAGTTACCATAGTATAAGTAAAATTGTAGGTACTTAATAGTTGACAATTGTTGAGTAATAAATGAAAGCTAACATAGCACTAAAAGTACCATTTAATATGATTGCAGGAACACGGCCCAGAAATGTTCTTGACATGAGCAAAGAAGTCTATGGAGTCATTTTACCTGAAAGTATAGGTGAGTTGACAATAGCCTAATAACCAATGCTGATCCAATTTGTCTCTATTTGGACTCTATGAGAAGCTCCCTTTGGTTTTGGTGTGCATCAAAGTTCAGTTTATAATGGTTTTTGTGGTGCCTTGGTTCTTCCCTGACGATTTTAATCATCCCCCGTCAAAACCCAGGCTGGAATTGGTTTGGATTGGTCGTACAGACTCCCCTTTCATGCTCTGTGTAAATATCATGGACCCAACCCACTACTGCAGAGTTCTTTTCCTGT